ACTGAGGGCTCCAGTAATCGACAAAATTCTGCGTATACAGACTGCGTTTAAGTATACGTTCTGCGTTCTCGACTAATTTCAGCTTAAAGCTGAAAAAATAATAATAAATAGNGGGAGATAAGGAACGCTCCTAATATGGCGGAATTAGAGCGAGAAGTTGCCAACTGATAACACCTGTTTTATTGCATCATGATGGTTGTAAGTAAAGCTGAAATTAGTCAAGAACGTAAACCTACCGGTACGTAAACCCGAGTCAGCTGACACGATCTGTCTTACCAAAGCGTCATGTAAATGAAAACTCAACACCGCAGAATTTTTCTGTAGTTGTAGCCCGTAGCGCAGAAATCTGCGGAATTTAGATTTTTCCTTGTCAGCTGATTTCTCCTTCCTTCTTTAGATGGTTGCCACTTCGTCAGTTTTACAGATGGTAAAAAAGTTATAAGTTCCTATTCAAAATATGTTTAAAATATTTGAAGTTTACTATTGAATAAGGTTTTAAAATCTATTATAGCACGAAAAATTGTAGTTGAAAGGGTAAGTTTATGAAAAGGCATTGATGAGTGGCAACAGTGTAGTAAGCAATACTGAGGGCTCCAGTAATCGACAAAATTCTGCGTATACAGACTGCGTTTAAGTATACGTTCTGCGTTCTCGACTAATTTCAGCTTAAAGCTGAAAAAATAATAATAAATAGATAAAAATTAAGATCGGTAGCACTGAAAATAAGCATGCCGATCTTGTCAAAATTACAACAAACACGTCGCTACTGATAACACCTTGTTATTATCCCATCATGCGTAATGACTTTCGATTTTGATAATTTTTGACAAGCAATGTGTGTGAAGAAATTGAAAGGCATAACTGATTGTGTGTTGTCAGCGAAAGGAATTTGGCTACCGCTAAAAGGATTCGCGGCAACACTGGTCATTTGTAGGGCGTACAATGTTGTCTATCCCGATTAAGGGCACCATAATACAGCCCAAAAATTATTATGATATTTTTAATTTCAAGTAATTTTTAATTAAGTAAAATATCTTTGACCTTAAAAAAACTATCAACAACTAAATATATTTTAGTCATCTTACGGAAAGTTTTAAACACATGAATATATGGTTATAAAATTTATAATTTACAAGAACAAAAGGGAAATTTCTGTGAGTTGACATGACTTACGAACCTTAAAACGTTCTGTTCCTGTGTGTGTTTGTCATTGTGTTGCAAATTGTCGAGGTGTTGTCGATCCGTTTAAAGGCACGTAATTTTTGTGTTTTCCTTTGATCAAGGTAATAAAACATTTTGTGTGCGAATTTTCCAAAAATAATGTGCAAATTACATTATATCGAAAGGGCTATAAATATGCATATTTTGGGCAAAAGTGTCGCAAACGTGCATAAGCGCCCGCTGTAGCTACAGAGCTAAAGATCTACAAAAAATTACATAACTCGGATTGCGGCAGGAATTTTAGAAAAAATATTTAACAAAATGTTTATAATAACCATTTGCATATTTATACAAATAATTGTCCACCTCTTAGCTTGCTGACATCATATAATGCCATCTAATCACCAGTGTTCGTTTGTAATTCTAGTGTAGAGAATACATAGTCAAACAAGATGCGCGTCACCTCGTCCCTGCTTGGAGCCCACTTTGGCAACTTGGCCAAGGTACATGGCATTGTCACCTATAAATTGTCGCCATTTGAACAGCGTGCGTTTGCTGGCGCGATAAGCAAAGGTTTGCCCAACATTTTCAGACGCATCCGTTCCAATATTTTTATTGTGACACCGCGTAAGTTATGAAATCTCAACTTGAATTATTGAATTGATTTATTATTTGTGTGATTTTATAGCTTTCATTGTTGGATACTTGATCTATGACCTGACGGAACGTGAACACCACCACTTGTCTCGCAAGAATCCCAAGGAATTTGAGAATGATGAATAAACGGTTGTTTAAATAAAACCACACACCACAAAAATTTTAAATTAAATACATCATATGTAGTTTAATTTGAAAAGTAGAACAAATTTATGCAGCTTATTAAATTTTGTGGTTTATTTCAATCTAAAAACTATGTAACTTCTCTTGTCTATGAAAATAGGCTTGTATTTAACTTAAATATTTATATACTGGATTTATATAACTTATATAATTTAAATTCTCCGAATAGCTTCCTAGGGTCGTATCCGTTAAGCTAAACAAAATATTCCCCAAGTGTTAAATGAAAGGATTCGTGTTGGTGAATGTCGATCTGCCTTAACTACCCAGTATATAATTTCAGGAGTTAAAAGCCCTTCCGATAGGCCTTCCTGAGAATCAAGAGACCTTCCACTCTACATTCCTTTCTCCTTTATTTTTTGTATGGAGTGGTACAAATTGAAGGTCTTCCTCTTTCGCTACCCATAGGACGTACTTCAAAGGCCTTTTGGTAGAGTTCTTTTAAGTTTCTTCTTTAATTTATAAAAATCATACATCTTTGAAGTATTTGCTTAAGGTTTATAGAAATATGTGTTATTGTAATATAAAATTTTTATTGGAATTCATTTGTAATGTTAAATAATTAATCAGCCTTATCATGAGTTTAATTTTCCCCGAACCGGTTCACTTTTTACTTTTGGTTTCCATGGTTTTACTATGGACGGACGACAAAGTACTTTTTCAGCCCTTCTTGGGTAGGCCTCTTAGAATGACTTCACTTAAGAAGGCCTACCTAAATTATCTTTATTTGTGGCCCATTGTATGACGACTGAAAGCCGATGGGCAACTGCATATTTACTTAAATTCGCAATACGTATCGCAACTGGTTATTGAGTCTAATAGCAGAATTTCCTGTTTCCCGCTTTTCACGATTTTGGTATATGTTTACATAAATTGTTAAACACATGGGAGCAAAGTTAGTAATCACTTCGAAATGTACATGTCAAAAAAGGAAATGTGGATCCTGTTTGCCCTTTTCTGTATTCTGAGATTAGTTGCTATACATAATAAAAAGTGCGATACCGGTTGTTGTTGTTGTATGAAGCGTGCAGCCTCCACCGGGTCGATTCACAGGGACAAAGCCGTTAAGGTTGTCGGGTTTTCCGGGCATGCGAAGAGATGTTTCGAGTCATGTGGGGTCTCTCCGCATGCCGGACACTCATTTGGCACATCCGCATTCAGTCTACTCAGGTATGAATTTAACCTGCTGCAGTAGCCAGAGCGAAGTTGGGCACTTGTTGTTCTATCTCCCGAGACAGATGAAGCTCCGTCTAGTCTATGTCCGGTGGTGATGTGCCTAGAACGTCATTCACAGGTCTAGAGTCTACATAACTCGAGACTAACTCCCTGTGAATGCCGTTCAGGGCCAGTCGGTAAGCTGACAGGTCCAAAGGCTGCTTGATGAACCTCTGGACTTCGCCCGTCAGTTCGTATAGATGCCTCCTGACGTGCCTAGGCAAGGGCTCATCTGCAAGCAGCTGTCTGTTCGGGTGGCCACATCTGTGGCTCCCGATCAGAAACTCCAGGCTTGAGGTCCAGGCTGTTTCGGGCAGGAAGAAGATCAAATACGTACCAATTTTCGCTCTCTACTACCCATTTTGTTGGGTACGCGAATAATTTCTGTGCTGATTTGCCCACCAGCGGGATCACGTTGCGTACGGCCTAGAGCCTAATGTTTCTGTAATTGGCCAGTTGAATAAAAATTTCTGCTGTGTACGTCATTGCGTGAATTTTCCGTGTGTCACCCTGTAGTAAACGTAACGTAAAGCACACATGACGTATTGTGTCAGCTGCTTCAACAAGTCAAATTTTGCTTTTGTCATTTAATAAAATTCTTGTTTTTTTAGCAAATTTTTCTACAATAATTTTGGCGGATTCCTAAAAGCCACAACAGTGGAAAATTTATTTATATAAGCTTTGAAAGTGGTCACAAATACTACAGAACGGTTCTGCGCATTTAATAATTTAGATAAAGCATCTGCAGGACAATATCGGATGAAATTGGATAGTAGTACAAGATGGAAGATTGCTGCAGTAACGAAATGCGTGGTCAAACGTTTCATAATCTGTTGAGATCGGTGCTGGATTCGAAAATCATCAACATACAAGTATTCACCGTAGCAGTAGGAATCCTCTTTATTGTGATTTTACTTAAGAATCGTTTCCGAAGTTTTTGTGGCACCTAATGGTAACAAAGAAAAAAAGAAGGTGGGGTTTGGTGTGATGCTGGAAATGTAGTATTCAAATAAATTAATATTTCTTAGATACCTATGTCAACTATAGTTTTTTGTTTCCAATTACAGCTTTTGCATAAACCATACAATACATTCCCAGGGAAGAAAATTCACATAGTGGTTGAAATTCATGTCTTGATTGGAAGAATATAATGGCTGCATTTCTTTATTCATTCTGATCTTTTGGAATAACCTTTTTTGTTACTTTACTTTCTGTTTATTACGGCTGTGAAATTGGATTATTCGGAATGTATGTATAAAGAAACGCAGCCAATATAAATGGTAAACACATAGTATGTGTATCAAGCTATAATGTTTGGATATGAAGACGGTAAAAGAGCTTTTTTTGGCTTTGCAGAGACATCCAAAAATTACAGTACGTTTACAGACTCGGACGTCAGTAAAATACCATTCGCTGGAGAAAATGGGTGGTGTACGGAATTACAGCCATTCCCGCGACAGCTGGTTCTACGTACCGGAATGACTCGGGGTTTTGCCCCTCAAAAGGCTGTTGTTTCGGCATTCTAACCCTGTTTAAGTCGGCGAAATCTCCTAGGGCCTGTTGTTCAATGTCTGGTTAACTCAAATCGGAGGTAGAAGCTCAAAATACAATAACTGCTTTATGTGCATGATGCCGAAAGCATCGATAATGATGTTTAACAGGGAGGTAGTGATAACCAGACAATGAGTAACCGGCCTTTAAACGTTGTTCGTCCATAGGGAAACGTCTGCTACGCTTTCTTCAGCTGAAATCAAGTCAAACCCTGGGCCAGACACCCTACACTTGCTGCGTATGGCAGGGACGATTACATCTCGATTCAAAAAAATTCAAGAACCGACATTCGTTTTTTCCTCAATTGGTCTACGGTTTACCTCTTGGAAATTTTGACAGTTCATTTATCAAAATGATAAATTTATCAAGTTTATCAAGAGTTTATCCTTTTGATGAAGACCCCCTATATAGAGTTATGGCTAATACAACAAAAACTCCAAACATCGGAATTCCAAACTTTATTGAAATTTCCATAAAGAATTTGCACTCCTTAATTACTGCTTTCAGGAAAAATTTGAGGACGTATGCAGTTTTAATTTTTTTTTTTCCAAAACGGGTAAATATAGTTGGCGAAAACAAGAAAAAAGAAACTAAAGAGCATCCGTATTGCAAAAAAATATACATAAAACAAAATTTTTTTCATTTGTGATAAAAAAAAAATAAAACAAGTATGAAAGTCTAACTTCGGGCGGAGCCGAACATTAAATACCCGGCGCAAGTGTTAAATATATGTTTTTACCTTTCCGAAAGCTACCGCTAGATGGTAAGCAGAGGTGTATCAATTTTGAGTAAATTAGCGTCCTTAAATTTCGAAATATTGAAGTTTCAAGCATTTCTGAAATTTACCGTTATATGAAAAGCGGACGTAATTTTGTCGGATTTCAATAATTTTCAACTCGTTGTCGATTTCTCTTTTCATTCTGATCATTTATGTATACATTTGTCTATATCTCTCTCGATTCGTTTAGCCTGTTGCAAACAACCGTTATGTGAACAAAGTTATAATGCCCTTGCGTACAAGTGACAATGTTGGGCATTACGTTCATAAAAATGGCCATTAGTGCGATTCATGAAACATCGCAAAGGGCGATGTTACGCAGACGATCATATCGTCGTTTAAAGTACAAAACCGCGTATCGTCATTCTGCAAAACCGCGTAACTGAATTAGCTGCCAAAAAGTGGATTTGCGCACTCAAGCTCTTGGCTCAATCCTTATCCATTCGTCTTGAAATATACTGGCCAGGTAAGCGATTGCTTTATAAAAAAAGCTTTTAAAAAGAGAACCATTTTGAAATATGAGTGTTTTTACTCTCTAGAAGATAATTTACATAATTCACATACGCGGTTTGGCATTTTGTTGATACGCGGTTTTGTATTTTAAACGACGATATGATCCCTGGTCACGATGTAGAGAACAAAGATGGCGCCGATCTCGGTACCGCTATTCCGGTCTCAGTGAATTTGACAGAAGCGCTGTTTTTATGACATCACACTTGTGCATCTTGTTTACGTTTTGCTTGCAACATTTTTTCTTATTCTTCCATTCTTGCTCGCGTTTTGGCATTTCTGCAAATGCACCAGTGTGACGTCACACAAAAATTATTATCAAAAATCCTCTCTGATTGGCGCAATCTTTTATTCTATGTATGGGCTGTTTTTGCTTACGCGTAAAAGTACATTTAGCTCTAAATGCTACTATTGTGTACATTTATCCATACAAAATTTGTCACCTAAATGAAAAAAGAGGAAATTTTGACGGATCAAAGTAAAAATTTGACATTTCTCGTGGTGAAAACGAACGTCAGAATTTTTACCTAGCTCATGAGGCTAGGTAAAATTTTGACAGCTTATAAACATGTATACACATAATAGGTTCATTCCTTATCCTTTTGGACTAAAATCTGAAAAGTGTCAAAATGCCAGAGCGTAAACAAAATGCGCTCACTAAAAGAGAATAACAGGAAAAGTAAAGGAACGCAAAAAACCAAATTTTTAGTCCAAAGAATGGCAACAACAAAGCTAACGTCAAATAAGAATGGAAATGTATGTACAAAACACATTCACACAAGCACAAGNCGTATTCTTTAATTTCCGTTAATTTAAATTCAGTTGAGTTTGACACTTTTCAGGATTTTGCCAGAAAAAATTCTTCTGACTAAATCTGACTACTTCGGACTAATGAGAGTCACTCTCACTGTGTGTTGCTCTCTCATTTTTGCTGTCATTTCCGAGTTAAGGAACGCTTTTTGGACTAAATCTGACTACTTCGGACTTTTTCTGACTATTTCTGGGAGATAAGGAACGCTCCTATTATTGCTTGGCGGTAATAAAGAGGGAACATGAAAATGAAAGCCGAAAAAGCTCAAAAGAAGCGTGCGTTACTTATTTTCAACTTATTTTGAACTTGTAAAATCTCGCTAACGAATGGAGAGAACACGCACTTTTCGTTCATAAGGATATTCATATTGATTTTTCATTAGATCCAGAAAATAATAGGAAAAAAGTTTTTGAATTAAAAGATTCTTCAGGTTAATATAAGTTTCCCAATTAAAAAAAATTATATCTGCATTACTAATATAGCCCTTTTCTAATACTTCAGTAGAGCGTATATTTAGTAGTTTAAAAATGTGTAGGACTGACCTGAGGACCAGATTGAGCACTGATATAGTTGCAACAATAAAAATTACGGTGATACTTTGTTTGAAACGCAAGAGCAAATGTACCAATTGAATTGGAGAATGTTATTAAATTTTATACTAAGTATATGTAAATAGTATGCAGTACACAGTACTCATATCTGTATTAAGAAAATTTTGAGTAATTTGTTCGAATTTTGAGGATTTTTCATTTTTTGTTAGGAATTTGGTAATTTTTTTGTGGTAACACTGCTTACACAAATCAGGGCTCGAATCCTCACATACGATATCGTACTACTCGTCACGTAAAAAACACCTTTTTCGGATTATGACATACGTGAACGTACTCTTTGTCCCATTTAGTTTTTACTGCCTGACGTATCACGTAATTTTCTTTCGTATCGTTTTCGATCCGTGAACGGATGTTACGATTCGAGCCCAGATCGCACTTAGTGATGGCAAACAAAATTTAATAATCGAAAGCACTCGATTAATAATTCCAATTAATCGTAAGAAATTAACCGATTGGTCGGCAGTTTCGATCAAAATCGAAAATTAATAAAAATTCTCTGTTTTATTTAATGATATATTTCTTGTTAAATTGTGGAAGCTTGCGTCATGAATTCAGTCGCAAACAGATTTTTTATGCGGGAAATCAGTACGTTAGACTTTTTCATGCTAAAAAAATCAGTACTCTTCAGTACATTTTTATTCAAAGCAAAATTATGAATTTAAGTAACAGAAAATAATTTAAAACGCGTTCTTGTTTTTAACAATATTTTGGTATATACATAAATAAAACATAGTTTATAAAAAATAAAAGTATCGTTAATTTTAACATGAGTATACACATCATTATACACCGAAGTCAATAAATTATTTTATATTTGATATTTTTGAATAGCACTAATGAGATCATTTCCATCTTCAGTCTTTAAATAGTCGAGGGATTCTATACATTTCATTTTAAAACTATTTTTAATTTGAATTTTACTTTAAAAAATTGTATTAGAAGCCGGTTTCGCTCTTTGCGCCAGGAAGCAAATTTTATACTCTCAGTTGCTAAGTTTGAGTGTGGTATTACAAAAAAAAAAAATTACATATTTCAAACTGTGAAAAAGTTCTACTATTTAAGGACTTCATCTATATTTCCTCATGGCTTAAATTCATTTTTTCAACTACGAAAAAAAGGTGAAAGACTAAGAATTCGCTGAAAAGAGTATCTAACTTTATGTCTTGTATGCAAAACTCTTTTACAAGGTCAGTAAAATGTAAGTTATAGGCAAAAGCCATTCGAATCTTCAAATTTGTTGTTATTAAACTGAAAGTTATTTTCGAGATAACTAACAACATTCGACAAACAAACGTCAGCCGTACTTTGAAATAATTTAAGCTGCATCGTATTATTGCATTTGGAATGCGGCGATATGCCCATAAAAGGACAGATCATTTTGTCGTATTAAATTCTAGGACATACCAAACATTATATGAAACATGTCAACTGTCGACTATAATTAAATTATTTTCTTCTTACTTTTTACTGTACAGTTTAAGGAAGCTCGAACGTTATGTAAAAACCTTAAGAAAATCGTAAAGTATTTAGTTTGAAAATTCAGTACAAATCAGTACAAATTTTGCAAAATCAGGTACATTAGCGTACTGATTGAACAAATGAATAAAATCAGTACAAGAGTTGAAAAGTCAGTACTGTACTGATAAAATCAGTACGTCTGGCAACCGTAAGCCCGTGCCGAAATTATAAGCGCACCACAAGATGTTTTTTTTGTTATTTAATTTTAGGTTTTTTTTTATAATACAGCTTATTATTTAACAAAAACCATATAAATATAAATATACC